ATTTAATTTTTGTAGTCTTTGCTTTCTTCAACAGTTCAAGCTTGAAAATTCATGATTTCATCTAAGATGATGAAAAATAAATATTTTCGGAAAACATTTTTAAATGCGTGAGATTTACATTGCTAGGCAGAAAAGCGGGAATAGTGATGAAAAGTCACGAGTCTCACGCAAAATGCATTAGAGTTGACACGTATGTATGTAAGTATATTACCTTTAAAAGTTCTGAAGACTCAAAGTAGAATATTAACGTAGTCATGGTAAACGTCTTACTTTGTTTAGTTCTGTGACAGACTGTATGAATACAAATGATAAAAAAAAGGAGTTGGCATTATTACAGCAACGGTGTTGAGCGTTAAGTCTCATAAATTTGTTTTCAGCATTAAAAGAAATTTATATTCAAATTGTTAATTTTAAGAATTAAATATTAATACCACTTTTCTGGTATAAGTTTGCATATAATATTTTAGTTATATATAACTAGGTGGCAGCACCTCACACAAACATGCACAAGCCATTCTATAACATCCGCCATTGTTATTCCAATCTCACACCGATAATTGATGGGAAAACTAACAAAAAAGAAGCTAACGCTAATTTAAAATTATAAATATATTTTATAATTTCACACGTCATTTTGTGCATGGAATCATACAGTTATGTTTCTCCATTACTTTGAAAATGTTTCGGACTTTGACTCGATCTCGTTACTTAAGCAAGTGCGCATCAAATCAAATGGCATCAAATGACGTGAACACATCCACCGGTTTTCATGACATTACTGAATATGTGATAAAACGTCTTAGTTGTATTTTATTCTCATACCTTGCTAGTTGTCTTCATAGTTCCCTCTCGCTTTGGTTCAGGTTTCGTATCAGACATGTTTTTCCCCCTTTTTCAAGAAACTCTATTGCATAACGTGATAACATTAACAGTAGCCCTGACTTTTGGGAAGAACACTTCGGTCACGTGACTTGGGTTCTGAATTCTGCCAGTAGGCTACAGAAATCAGGTACTTTGTGTCAGAAAATGTTTTTGTTCATTTACCTGCAAAATTTTAATCTACATCGATATCCCTGAGTGGTCAGTTGATGAAAAAACTTCAGACCAGGTTTTAATATCTTGAATCGCAACTGACACTCGTTCAATGAGGACTCCAGGCTAGAACAACAGTTATTTGTAGATAAGTTTTTAGGCTTAACGGAGTTGGTGTTTTGAATATATTAAAACGATTTGCTGAGGAGCTGCTTGAAATATCTTGACTTGTAAGCGTCAACTCTTGTATAATATGCCCTCCAGCGGCTCAGCGATAAGTCTGAAGGCTTATAACGCTAAAAACTGGGTTTAGATACCCGTGTTTAACTTTGTGCTTAGACAACAAACAAACAAATAAGTGTAATGCTGTTGCACCCTATGATTAGGTGTGTGTGTGTATGTATGTACGGCATACTCGTGTTTGCAATTGTTTCTCCAAATAGTGATTCCCCTTGTGGCTCAACTGTATGTTTGAGGACTTATAACGCTAAAATTCGGGTCTTGATACCTCCAGTTGGCACCGTGTTCCGTTTATTAGATTTTTAAACAATTTTCGTAAAGAGTTTTGTTTGTAATTAAGCACAAAGCTACAAACACACATATATATGTGTGTGTTTAAGGCACAACACAATCACCAGATAATTATTTTTTTGTCTCTTGATTCTGGCCTGATGTGGTCTGGTTCTTAGGGCGCTCGGTTAGCATATGTGGGTCGTGGGATCGAAATCCGGTAACGAACATGCTAGTCTGGGGAGCGTTATAATGTGAATGTCAATCTCGTTTATTCGTTCACAAAGTGTAGCCCAGGAGTTGGCGGTTGGTGGTGTTAACTAACTGCCTTTCCTCTAGTCTATCATTTAAAAATTAGGGATAGCTAAGGCAGATAGCCTAAGAGTAGCTTTGCGAAAAAATTCAATTAACTCGTTGATTCTAAAAAGAAAAAAAAAGATATTATAACAGACTAGGACTTTTTATTTGTGTTTTAAATATCTAATTTATGCAAAAAAAAGCAAGTTTTTCCTCATAATTTGTGCTTTTTATTTGGAGATATAGCATTGATTCTGATGTAATTTTATTTAGCTGACATAAATATTCATAGATATCTTGCATATGCAAGTACAATCTGGAAATGTCCTGAAATATAATTGAAAACAACTTACTGAGTTAGTGTTAAGTCAAGTATAAACATATTTGTAAAAAAAGTTAATTAGATTTAGCGAATTAGGGCCGAATGTGAATCCTAGGATTCGTGACCTGCTGTCCCACAAATGGCACTTTAGGGCTATGGATGCGTTATAAGAGTGATCGTCAAATCAGACAAGAGTAACTCAAGGATTGGCGGTTTGTATTATTTACCAACTGCTGAGGGTACTGTTTACTGGTTGAATAAAGATTCTGTATCTATTAATTTTTCTCGAGTTTGTTGTTCCCGGTCCCCTGTTGGGTCAGCTGTAAATTTACGACTTAAAACGCATAAATTCGGAGTTAGATTACCTGCGGTGGACAGAGCGCGGATAGCCTATTGTACAACTTGGCGCTAATAATCTTTAAAACTTGTCACTTTCTGTTGAAAATTGTCTAATTCTAACTAATAATTCTCTTGACTGGAACGTATATCTATTTCTAAAATAATCTCTAGTGATACTTTTCAATAAACTCTTTAACCCGTTGCTTACCATAGGGACAGTCTTAGTACGCCCGATATTTCTATTCCCAAGGGCCATAGGATGTACTTTGATAACGGTTTTCCCACACTGAATCCAATGATTTGTAGGTGGTTAGGGCGCTTGATTCGCAATCTGAGGGTTGTGGGTTCGAATCCCCGTCCCACCAAACATGCTCGCCCTTTCAGTCGTGGGGGCGTTATAATGTGGCGGTCAATCCCACTATTCGTTGGTAAAAGAGTAGTCCAAGAGTTGGCGGTGGGTGGTGATGACTATCTGCCTTCCCTCTAGTCTTACACTGCTAAATTAGGGACGGCTCGCGCAGATAGCCCTCGTGTAGCTTTGCGCGAAATTCAAACCAAACCAATGATATGTGGTTTGTAGGATGTTTCTTTAATAAACTATACAGTAAATCAATCAAACATAAGATTTTTGATCTTTCGACAAAGTTTCATAATTAGTTCGTTTTGTTTTAATTTAGGTCAAAATCTTTCACAGAATGTATGAAATTACATCAAGAAATGGATTTTTTCACTTCTGCATTATGGCTTTTTTTCAGGGATTTAAATGGATTACGCAAATTAGTCAAATTTGATGCAGCTGTATGAGATTTCGCGGCTTTAGGCCCTGAACAAGGGTTAAGTATTTTCACGGCTTTAGGCTCTGAACAAGGGTTAAGTATTTTCACGGCTTTAGTCCCCGAACAAGGGTTAAGCATTTTCGTGGCTCTATGCCCTGAATAAATGTTAATTATTTTTAGGTCCTGAACAAGGGTTAAGTATTTTCACGGCTTTAGATCCTGAACAAGGGTTAAGTATTTTCATGGCTTTAGGCCCTGAACAAGAGTTAAATATTTTCACGGCTTTAGATCCTGAACAAGGGTTAAGTATTTTCGTGGCTCTATGCCCTGAATAAATGTTAATTATTTTTACGGATTTAGGTCCTGAACAAGGGTTAAATATTTTCACGGCTTTAGGCCCTGAACAAGGGTTAAATAATTTTACGGCTTTAGGCCCTGAACAAGGGTTAAGTATTTTTACGGCTTTAGGCCCTGAACAAGGGTTAAGTATTTTCACGGCTTTAGGCCCTGAACAAGGGTTAAGTATTTTCACGGCTTTAGGCCCTGAACAA